AGAACTGAACGCGGGTTCTGATGAGAACAGTGTAAGCGTTCAAGCAAACCACTTCTGAAGATGCAAGCCACTCGTGCTTGCGAAACGTCAGAAAGAAATTCTACCGAACGACGAGAATGTATTCCTGATGTTTCTTTCTGGGTCAAAACTACTCAAATTTCCTCACTCACGTTGTTACCACTGAATCGACTTTTCAATTCTCTATCCAACGATGCCAAAACGAATTCTGTGACTCGAATGGTTCTTGATAAACTTCGAAAAAAGGCCATTTAGTTATCTCTAGAATGATGTAAAAACGAGAAACATGCAAAATGGGACGGAAAACAGGAAATTTTGCAATAATCTTGCGCCACCCGTGCACAAAACGACGATCATTTTTCAACAAGTTCATAAACAACAGAAGATTGTATTTTTTCTACATAACCCCCCCCCCCCCACAACTTTTTCCAACTTGGGTCATTTTTCCCGAAAACTCCATTTTACTTCTAAGTGTCCTTATCGCAAGATTTAATTGACAAATTCAATTCCCCAAACACTGAATTCTCTAAAGTGAAAACTGATCACAATAGTTAAGCATGCGCGGTCATTGCTTGAAATTCTAGTTTTTTGGGCCTTAAAAAAAGTTTTCCTGACGTTTCGCCACCACGAGCGACTGGCATCTCCAGGCATTCAGCGTTACCAATTTCCCCAGAATCAGTGGTGGCATCTGCACACTACCTAGCGAACTCTACATCACGTTTGCAGCAGAATCAAAGCTGCAGATCACACACTCGTAATTGATAGCTTTCGTTTTGATTCTCCTCCAATAGATGGCCGTCCGTACACGCATCGGGAATAACAGTTCCCTCTATGAAGAGATTTAAAGATAAATGAGTGTGCGCTAGGGATGGGCCACCGATGGTAGCCATCGATGTTGACATCGAAAGGTAATATCGATGTACATCGATGTTCGCAGTTGCATACAAATTTTAAATTGATTAACTTAAACTTAAACAATTTTATTTTACAACTGCTATGACATTAAATAATCGACTAAATTTACGACATTTTTCGGTCATTTGACTGCAAAAAGAGGCTTTTTTCGGGTGCAGCTGGAAATGGGCCGATCAACATCAAATATGCGATGTTTTAATCTCAAGGTCTACCATCAATGCCCAAATTTCCAACATCGATGCTAAAAATATCGAACATCGAACGAATTACATCGATCTTTGCGAAACATCGATGTTCCTCTCCCATCCCTAGTGTGCGCACTCAGAAAAATATGATGAAATAATAAAAATATGATTAGATTGCAATGTAAATTTGTTTTCAGCCCAACTGCTGTCAGCTAAACTTTTATGTAAATTAAACTAAACGAAAATTTCGCAAAAATGCACATTTTCCCGAAGTTAATCGTTCTTAAAATCTTTGAATTCAAATAATTTTTTTTGAATCCTCCAAAGGACCTTAATTTAAAGACAATTTAAATAAATCAACCATTCACTAATTATAACGTTTACGACGAAAAAAACCCCAAAAAAATGGCCCATTAAACAGTCACCCAACACAAGCCACTTAAGCAGCAG